CGTAGTAATTAAAATTCAAACAAAAAACTTTCGTTTTTTTTAAAGGGTAACAATAAAGAAAACATTAGCAACCCCTATTTACACAAGGAATTTCTAATGCATCAGAGGAAATAATAGGGTACAAAGATGAGAAAGTACAATACAGGATTATGTACGCGTATCAAAGTTATGAGATACTTTGTACCACTATTCTTACCATTTGAAGCAATTCTACTTTGAGTATCACGGACAGTGACGTATCTTGGTCAAAACTATTAGAGGGGTCGGGATTTGAATATTTTATCTCTCACTAAAAATAATCACTATGTTATAATATTTTTTAAGTAAAATAAGGTTGTTTAAAGTTCAATAGCTAATTTATTTCAACAATTTACCGGGATCGAGCTCCTAATGGCCCCGGTGGAAGGTCCCCCTTTGATCACGGACATGATATACCAATTTTACAATAAAAATTGCTGAATTTGAATGAATATTCAAGCTACCACAATGTAAAGTGAAGTAATGTAACTATGCAAAAAAACATTTGAATCTTGAGTTGATGATGATCATCATATCCAAATTAGTAGATATCACAAATCTAATTAATATCACATGCACGAGTTAAAGAGTACACAAAATCGACAAGAATAATCAATTACCCTACGTGTGAGACCCTTGATTGATAGATTCGTTCTAATAATTGACACATCAAGATAAAAATGCATAATATTACAGCTTATAATCTAGCTGTTAAAGTTATTTTTCAAGCAAATATCAAAATTAAAGTTATAAAAGTGATTCGATCGACCCCAAACAAGGTAAAAAACATGTACTATATAATTAAAAATGTTTTTTTACACCAACAAAATATTAAGAAAAAAAAAAGAATTTAAATAAATTTGAAATGCAAACGAAAAGGTAAAGAACTTTTAAAGATACGAAAATAGCATCAATAATAAATCTGTCACCGACCTTTGTAAGGTATTGGATATAGTAGGGGTTTAGGCAATCATCAATTGTGGATGCATCAAATCTATTTTTACTGTCTCCTCTTTCTTGTAATCATTTCTCATTTTACAGATGCACCCCAACATTCGCACTTGTCATTTTTTTTTAATTATTTATTTTTTATAACTTAAAAAAGAATACTCCGTGATTATAAGAAGTACTTCATATACAAGTACTCCGTATAATGTTTGTTACGGAGTATAAGAAGTACTCTTAGAGTTGTATACTCGTATTAATAATTGTACATTTTCTTGTATATTATTGTGTGAAAATCTCTCCTAAAATGAGTTTAATAAGATTCAACCTCTGGACCTCTGGTTTCACATCTAAAAGCCGAACTAATCAACTATATTATCTTTCTATCTCAAAATAGGTGTTGATGAATTAGTATGTATAGTGTATTATTGTATTTACTTTAATTTAAGATTTGTACATCTTGAATACCTGTCCGCCATGCATGGTGACTCATGTCTTTTCATTTATTAAATAACTATATGTACTCAGTAATAAAATTAGGGTATGTTCTCTTACGTTGAAATTCAGTTCAGTTCAGTTCAACTCAGCTCAGGTTCAGTTCAGTTCGGTTCAGCTCAGCTCAGCTCAGTTCGGTTCAATTCAGCTCAGTTCAGTTCAGTTCAACTCCTAATTTCCTTCTCTTATAAAATATTCATTTCAGTTCAGTTAAGTTCAGTTCAACTCATTTCAGTTCAGCTCAGCTCAGCTCAGTTCAGCTCAGTTCAGCTCAGCTCAGCTCAACTCAGTTCAGTTCAGCTCAGCTCAGTTCAGTTCAGCTGAGTTCAGTCAATGATAACATACCCTAAATTGCGGACTATATAAAATGTGATTCATGTTAAAACACCAGTGTTATGTTGTCCATATGATTTATTCCATGTTACCTTCAAAAAATATGAAAGACATTTCCGCCTTTTAAACTTAAAAGTTATAGGTTATTGTAAGTTTGTGTAAATCTCCTTGAGTATCATAATTCAATTAACCAATATACATAGGAATTACAACCTTTTTTTATAAGATTATGAGAATATAAGATATACATAAATGACAAGAGATATCCACATAATATGTACTAGAGAATATTAACATATACTCTATCAGTTACTCATATCTATTTCACATTTTTTTAATATGAATTACGATTTACTAACTACTTCGCATATTACATTGCAAATTCTTATATTTGGTTTTTTCTTCTTCTTTATATACAATTAGAGGTGGGGCTACAAATACTAACATTGGGAATGGTGCAATTTTGTTAAGTTGGGCCTATAATCATTTCTTTAAGGAAAATCATTTTACTTAATTATATATTTATGAAAAAATGAGGCGCTCTTATAATATTTTCACTTAAGGCCCTCCAGGAAAACTATTTTCCTCATTTTACATTGTTTGGTTTGGGCCGGATAGAAAAAGGAAAATTTGGGTTGAAAAACTATTTTCCTTGTACAAGAAAACGTTTTCTCCCAAATTAGAAGGGAAGCCGTGTTTTCAGATTTTCACCCTCCTTCCATCTTCCCCCTTCTCCTTACGCTGCTAGCTACGAACTCTGGTAGATCTTCCTCACTCAATTTTTTTTTGGGAAATTTGCCCAAAATAACACGAACTTTGGCCGGTTCGCCAATAATAACACCACCTTTGAGTTATTCCAAAATAACACCAACTTTGGGGGGTGTCTTCCAAAAATGGTACAAAAAAAATGGTAACCGGATTTAGGAGGTAATATTGCTGACGTGTGTTATGTCTTTGCCAGGTTGTGCGTTGCTTCCCCTTAACCATCGAACGTGTAATTAAATTTTGCACACCTAACTCCTGTCTCCCTCTTTAATTCATTTCCCTCCATATTTCACTCTCTTTCTTCGTCTTCGAACCATTTTATCAGAGGATCTCAGAGCATATTCAATTCCTCATTTCGTCATTTCCCTTTGAAATAATCAGAACTCAATTCCGAAATTCTACTGCTCCCAAAGAAAATTGCATTGAAGTGAAGTGAAGAGAAGAGTGAAAAAGTTGCGATCTTTGGTTCCCAAAATGCCCAGAAAGACGAAGAAGAAAGGTTCGTGTTTTTTTAATTTCTTTGTTTTGTTTGAATTATGATTGTTGGGTGGATTTTATGTGTTCTAATTTGAATATGGATGTTCGTATGTTTAATTATGCTGGTAATTGTTAAAGTAGGTTTAATAATTAGGTTGATTTGTATGGTGAATTATGTTGTTCACTCGATAAATTTTCTTGTTAATTGCTGAATTAGGGTTAATTACTTGAGTGTTTGTTTGTAGTCTAATTGAGTTGTTTAATTCTAGGGTCTGCTGCAAATACTCATGTTTTTGATAATGTGACTGTTCGATTCTGGTATGGGGGTCAATTTAAGCATGTTCGTAATGGTGAAATGGTGTATAAGGGTGGGAGTTATATTAACTTTGATGTTGACCCAGATGAACTTTGTTACTGGGACTTAAGGGATTATGGTAGTAAGTGTGGGCTTGCTCATGTGGATGCTTTGTTTTACCAAATGCCTGGGTTAAATATTGAGAAAGGTTTGAGAGTAATTCAAGGGGATGCTGAGGTGTTAGAGATGGGTAAGTTAGCTGTTGTAAATAGGAGTATTGTTGTGTATGCAGTTCAGTTTGAGAGAGAAGTGGGAGAAGGTTCAAATGCTGAAGTTGTGGAAGTTGATGTGGGCAACACAAGTCAGAAAAGTACTTTGTTGAATGCTGACCCCAAAGTTACCATATCCAAAACAACAGGCAAGGTACTTGAGAAACCCCCACCCAAACTGAACAAAAGAAAAAAATTGACCACAAGGAAGGGACCACAAACACAGGTGGTGAAACCCTCATTGACTGAAGAAGATGCTTCCACTTCACCTATAAAAGCATCTACCACATCACCCAAAAAAGCATCTATAACTTTACCAGAAAAAGCATCTGACCTTCCCCAAAAAAAAACAAAAAAACAGACTCAACCCCCCTTGAAAATCACTTCAGAAACTCAACCCTTCACTCAAAACCAGTCTCTTCATCTTTCTCAATTCCCATCCTTAGAGTTTGTTTCTACTGGTGAGTTGCCTGATGTTAACACAGATTTCAATGATGAATTTGAGTGGGAGGATGACAGACCAGAGAGCCCTTTGAAATGGAATGAATTAGTTGCTGATGATGAGTCTAGTGATGACAGTGATCCATTATATGATCATGAGTATCAGAAGTTTTGTGAGGGTGGGGAGTTTGAAGATGATGATGAAGATGATTTTCAGTTTGAGGTAGATGAGAGCATAGAGAAAGAGAAGGAAGGTGATTTTAGTCTATCTGACATAGATCTAGAAGGTGAAGGTGAAGATCTAGAACAAACTGATTTCTTTGAAGATGAATCTGATGACATTGATGATGAGATTATTGAAGCAAGGGATAGAGTAAAGAGGGTTAATACAAAGTTACTTGAGATAGTGAAGGGATTGCAAGAAAAAGTTTGTAAGGAGAAGGAGAAGGAAAAGGCAGTTGATGAGGAGAGGGAGTTTGAAGTTGATGAAGAGAGGGAGAACTCAGTTCATGAAGAGGTTGCAAGGGATGTAAACCTAAGTGACTGTGATGAAGATAATGACATTGATACACCACCTGGTAGTAGTGATGAATTAGAAGGGAAAAAGGGAGAGTTAGTGAGCCATGAAACTGATTTCAGTAAGTTTCATTGGAAGGTTGGTCAGAGGTTTGCTAATGCCAGTGACATTAAGGATGCTGTCACTAAGTATGCTGTATTACAGGGTAGAGATCTAAAGTATAGTGTGAGCTGGAAAAACAGACAAAGGTTGGGAGTGAAATGTGTTGGTGAATGTCCATTTTATTTATATTTTTCTGTGCATTCTAGAGATGCAACTTGGCTAGTGAAGAGAGTAGTTGGAAATCACACATGCCATAGGAACATGAATAGTAACAGGCAGTTGAAGTCCAGTTGGGTGGCTAGGCAGTTGCTTGATGTGTTCAAAGCTAGGCCACATTGGCCAAGAAAGAACAGAATTAAGCACCCTCTTGAGAATCCTAAGAAGCCAGGGTCATTGAGTAGGGCAGGAGTAGAAATGACTTGTAGCATATGCAAGAAGAAGGGTCATAACAAGAGAGGCTGCAAAGACAAGGATTCTGTTGTCCCTGATGAACCAGCACCCAAAAGACCCAAGGGAAGACCAAGAAAGACTGCCCCATCTACTGATGTAACCTCACATGCCCCATCTACACAAGCAACCCCAACACCCACCCTGACACAGACTGCATCATCTTCAACTCCTGCAACACAATTTGCCCACCATACTGCTACTGCACAGCCAACTCAACTAGGCAGGGGTGGAAGAATGATACTTGGAGGTCAAGGTGCTAGAAGTGTCAGTCAAAGCAGCACCAGAGGAAGAAGCTCGGCTGGTAGAGGGTCTACAACTACAAGTAGGGGAAGAGGAAGGGGAAGGGGAAGAGCACAACCATCAGGAATTGGGATAATGTTTGCTGATGATGGAAGCCCAATTGTTACAGTAAGAATTAGTACTCCCCCTTTCATTTTTGTGTTTGCTTTGTTTTTTTTTTTTGGAAAATAAGCCAATAACTTTGTAATTTGTGTGGCAGGCACCAAGTACCAGACCAAACACAAGATCTATCTCCCAGATGCAGCAGTGATCAAGTGAAGATCTTATGTGCCCCATTTCTTTTGTACTTACTAAGTATGCTTTTGGTCTAAGTGTGTAATTTGTCAAACAATTTAGTTGTTAAACAATGTTAGAGATCTTATGTAATTAAGTATTGGAAACAGTTGCAGGTATTTTGGAAACAGTTGCATGCATTATTGAAACATTTGCAGGCATTATAACAGTTCTGCCTTTGTCTTTTGATATTGCTGTGGTTGTGTTTTTCAATTTGTGCAAATAATTTGTGGTCTTTTAACATTGCTCTGGTTTTGTTTGTTTTTCATTTTGTGCAAATAATTTGGGAAATTTGTGGTCTTTTGATCTAGCTCTGGTATGTCAATTGTACACTGCTATTGCAATTATGATGAAAATCAATTAAGTACAAAATACAACAGCAAACATTACTCATTAAACATTCAATTAAGCATCCATTAATCAATTACACTGATTGCTTTTTATTTCCACATAAAACATTCAACATACATCCTCATTTCTTCCTTAATCAATAAAGGAAGATTACAACACCAAACAACAACCAAGAAAACAACAATGCTAAGTACAACGTTTTTTCATTCCTACCACACTTCATTAAATCAATCTTCATTACAACTATTTCATTCTTCAACCCTATGATGTCTTCCTCCAATTTTCCTTTCTTTAATTGCAATTTCTTTATTTTCTCATGTGCGATTTTTTGTTCAACCTGTAACTCACCAATTACGGTTTCCTTTTCCAACAACTTCACTTCATAATCTTCCATCTCAGCCTGCTCATTCACCCACTTGAAAAAATCACATTGAGTGTCCTGCATCCAGTAAATATGAACAATAAACAACACCAAATTAGGGTAATTACAATTACATATCCCCAAATTACAATAAACAAAAAAAGATGCAATAAACAAAAAAAGATGCAATAAACATAGGACAATCAATCACAACTTACTGGCCACATAGGGCAGCCGTAGAACTTCATCCCCAAATTAGGGCCTTTTCTCACAGTTTTAATCAAAGCTTCATTCCCACAATTGCAACGAATTTTCGAATTACCCATCCTTTTTATGCTAGAGGATGAACATGATTGGTTCGAAATTGACCTTCTTGTAGCCATTGATTAATTTTTTAAGAGCACTAAAATTGATACAACACGAACGATTAAAGAGAGATGAAGAGCAGAGGAAAACAAAGAACTTGAAGATGAAGAAGGAGCAACAAATTAAGAGAGAGGAAAACAAAGAAACAGAGGAAGAAGATGGAGCAACGACTACTGAGAGAGGAACAACAGAGAATGAAGAAGAAGGAAGAATAAAGGGCTTGGCATTTTTTTCTAACGGTTATAAAGAAGAAGAAAGAACACGTTGGATGGTTAAGGGGAAGCAACGCACAACCTGGCAAAGACATAACACACGTCAGCAATATTACCTCCTAAATCCGGTTACCATTTTTTTTGTACCATTTTTGGAAGACACCCCCCAAAGTTGGTGTTATTTTGGAATAACTCAAAGGTGGTGTTATTATTGGCGAACCGGCCAAAGTTCGTGTTATTTTGGGCAAATTTTCCTTTTTTTTTTTACAAATTTGGTAATATTCTCTCTCTTCTTGTCTTGATTATTAATCTAGGGTTTAATTTGATTTAAAATTCGATTGTTTTTGGGTATTTCTTGTACTGATAAGATCTTCATTATAAATAATATAGGAAAGACAAAGAACAATTTTTTTTGTAAAAAATGTTGATTTTCTATTGAACCAAACGACGAAAAATGCTTAAAAAGGAAAATCAGTTTACATGTAACCAAACAAGGGAAAATGTGTAGGAAATTACATTTTCTTATGAAAAAGGTTTTTCATGAAAAATCATTTTCCATTGAAAACATTTTACACCCAACCAAACAGGACCTAAGAGTCCTATACAATCGACCAATCTGCACATGCTCTAAACCACCCCTATATATCATGCGGGTAATGTCATTTAGGCAATGTCATTAATGTGGCTCAAATGTACATAACACCATAATTTTACAAACAACGGCAATGTTCATTCCCCAGTGAAGGAAATTGCGGAAATGCGGAGTATAAACAAAGACATAATTTAGTTGAATTGGTTTACATCATCCCTGACGATGAAGTTATAATTAATAATTTACTCCATTTGTAAATGAATAAGTTGTTAGTTGAAACTTGAAACTAATTATAATCATCTATTGATTGCCATTAGTTGTTTGTTAAATCCATGATAATTGTTAACATGTTACTACTTAAAAAGTGCACTAGGGAGATTTATTTGTAAAAGGGCTATTGAGTAATGTATATATACTTCATCCAACAATAATTTATACTACCTCCGTTAAATGTTATTTTAAAATATTTTATATCTCACAAATAATACCCCAAAGTTGTACATAACATTTAACGGAGGTAGTACATGAGTTTGATTTTAGATATTATGATTAGTATTTAAACAACATATACATAGATTCTATGTCAGATGAGAATCCATGTACACATATAGTCTCACTCTCACGTAGTTACAATATAAACTACGGAGTATTTTGGTAATAAATGGACTAACCCATTAAATTTTCTTTTTCATTATAAGATATATTCACCTGTGAAGTTTTCTTAACAATACCACAATGAATACGCTGGTTTATATTATGAGTACTCCTCTTGATCACTCTCCATCTAAACTTAACGGCTAAATAGAAATTTTGTGAAATTTGCACTTTTTTGGCGGCTGGTTTTCGGTTGGTATGTTTTTTTTTTTTTTTTTTTTTTTCTCCTAATTCCCTTTTTAATGAGTACAATAAATTTTTGAAAAAAAATAGCTTTACTATAAGTCAAAATAATTGCACAACAATTGAAAGTTGAAAACCAACTAAGGGAGGTAGAGGGGTCCGCAAAAATGATTGGGGACAAACAATGAAATCCAACCCCTTAAATAATGTCACATTGGTTTTAGACATAATTAGGGTTATAAGATATGTGGACCCTACTAACTAATTTTTACAATTTTGCCATAAAAAGTCATTGCCATTATTACATTGTTTGCCATTATGACTTACAACAACATGATTTCCATTTTCTAACAAGAGGTAATTATTCCTTATTTTTATATGCTTTGACATTTGCATATACTTCCAAATTCATTTTATTCCGTGATAACCCCTTTTTAAAATTCCTTTTTCCCCTTTTTTTCTTTAAATTAATGTACCCTTTATTTATTTTATTTTTAAAAAGAAAATAAAATTAAATGTCAAATGTTATGATTATGAATGAATGATTTCCCTCATCGTAAGGTCTTTTCAATTATTTTCGTCCTTTTAACATAATATTTTCATTATTATTTGATTGGGGTTATTGATGAAATGAGAAAAGTAAAATATCCTTTGATTTTGTACAACGAAGGGCTTAATTGTGTTTAGTTCTATGAACTGGATCTACAATAGAACAAAGGCCTGAAGCATAAGCCTCATTCTGTAAATGTGGATCAAGCCCAATTTTGGATAGCCCATATTGGGGTGTAAATGTTCATCGGGCTGAACGTTGATAACAATTATTTCATTTTGGAAACGCTTCACTATGAACAATTGTAAAATCCAAAATCACCAACGGTATTGGCCTATTGAATGGGTTTGGGTTTAGTAAATAGATTAATCTCGTGCGATACATGATTTGATCAAATAAAATTTTCTTAAATTATTTGTTTTTTTAATGCGTATCAATATTAATAACAAAAAAAAATATCCCAGAACTCATTGAAAAATTGAATGATGAAATCATGGAAGTGTACATGAGGAAGAAAAATTAAATTTTGACATCAATTATAGTTTTGGAGGAAAATATATTAATGGCAATATAATATGTGTCTAATTTTAAAATAGAATGATTTCAACGGTTGCTGCTTTATTACGAAGTATCAGTTATTAAATTAAATTCCATATACCAAATATAATTTCATATTTTGGTCTAGTGATAGGGTTTACTTCTCACAACTTGGGATCAAGTTCCACTAGAGATACTTTGGGGTGGAGATTCTCTTATCTTTCACTCTCACTCTCAAAGTGCTTAGCGCGCTAACCTAGACTGGTAAAAGTTGTGGGATCAAACCCCACTAGAGACACTTTAGGTCTTTGGGGTGGGGATTCTCTTATCTTTTGCTCTCACTCTCAAAGTGCCAATCCCGCTAACTTAGCCCGGTAACGAACCTATTGATTGATATGTCTGTAATCAATTTGTAGCACAAGCCAAGATAAATAAACTCTTCAAATTCTTAATTCTATTAAGCACAGCCAAGAGTTGAAATGAAACACATGAACCATCCGAATGAGTAAACCACCAGGTCTTCGTCGATCAAAACTAGCACAATCAAATAAAACTATAGTTTCATTCCCAGATTATTCAAAATCCAATGCATGTACACAAAATTCCGTCAAATTCCACCCTCTCATTTCATCACCACCATCATCGTTGCAAATTCAACCTTACCAATTTCGCCAATAATCCTCGAATTTCTGTTGCTCTCTTTCTCTCTCTTTCAATTTCATCAGCTTGTACACGAAGAAGGACACCTACCATGGCAGTCGCCGGCAAAAGCGGCGGCGATGGCGGCGGAGCTTTTACGACACTTGCCGAGAGGGTCACGTTTGAAAAAGAGATTAAGAAGAGCAAATTCATCGCCATTGCTGCTCCTGTTTACAGTGAACAATCTGCTCATTCCTTTCTATCTGAGGTCTTTTTTACTTAATTTTCATTTAATTGCTGTTTTTTTTGCAATCAGATGAATTCTAGGGTTTCGTTGATTTTTATTAGGGTTTTAAATTACGGTGGTTTGATTTTGATTTCTGTTGTTTAGGTGCGAGATAATCGTGCTACTCACAATTGCTGGGCTTATAAGGTACTTAATTTTCTTAATCAGATAGAATTGTTGTTGCTGATAATATGTGCATGTATGAAGCTCAAATTGAATGGTATATGCTGGGATTAATTTAGATTATACACTCGAGAACGTGATGCTCATGGATATGTACAGTTCCCTAAGAAATAGAGAGAATGAAAGTGTAGATTAAGTAGTAACATTTAGCACATTTATTCATTAAACAACCAATTATTAAACATACATGATTTATGTACTGCAAATTTTCACATTGCAAAGACAAAGTTGTGTAATTATTGATGTATATTTGTAGATTGGGGATCAATATCGATCAAATGACGACGGTGAACCATCGGGCACTGCTGGCAAACCTATATATTCAGCAATTGATACTTCGGGTGTTGATAGAGTTATGGTAGTTGTGATCCGGTAATTATGCTTCTCTGGGGATAAGTATAGTTTTTATGCAATCTAGTTGTGGCTTGTTTGTTGATGATATATCATGCATGTAGTTACACCCCTTTGTTTGTTTCTTTAAATGAAATAACAGGTATTTTGGCGGTATCAAATTAGGTACTGGAGGGCTTGTTAGAGCTTATGGTGGGGTTACGTCTGAATGTTTGAGAAATGCACCGACTCGTTTAGTGAAATCAAGAGTAATGAACTTCATAATTTGTTTTCTCTTTTTGGACTTTATTAGACCAATAAGAAACTAAATCTGAGATGAGAGTGGGCGATGTTATGATGCCTCTATTTTGCTTGCACTTTTATCTAAATCTTTTAATATCTCTAGGTTCCTATGGGTGTGGAGGTTTCCTTTGATCTTCTGGGGCTTCTGTATCATCAGGTTAGCTTTACTAGCAACATTATGTCCCATTTCATTATTATTGTTAATTTTTGATGGTATTAATGCAAATTGACTATTAATAGCTCCAATCCTATCAAGCAGCAGATGTCAAGCAAGATTATGAAACCGGTAAAGATGATACAACGATGGTGACTTTTAAGGTTGATTTTGATAAAGCTGACAGTCTAGAAGATGCTATTAAATCTAGCTGTGGCAGAGATATTGTATTTATCAAGCACTGAATGACAAGGCTGAAAATTGCGTTGCCATTTTATGCCTGACCAGAGATTGCTGGTTCTGTCACAATTCTCCTTCAGCATGAGTTGCAAAACAGCCATCAAGCATCAATGTTCTACTCTGCTACAAGCATCTACAAGTTGGTATGTACAATATATATTTATGTGTTTTTACAAACTTTACCATGATTTTCTTGCACATACATTTACATTTGACATGAATGAAATTTACTACCCATTCCCTGCCTTTATGTGTCTCTTATTTGCTGGTTCCCTCACTATTTAATGGCCATTCTGGATTTGATGGGCTACTATATTGTAAATAAAGTTGAGTTGGAGCTGTACATTGTACACTCTTAGAAATAGAAAAAAGAAGAATAGTGTTTTTTTAGAGTCTACACTCTCTAGTTTTCTCAGACAAGATGAACTAAACTATGGCTTAACATAACGGCGTAGGAGCATTGGCAACCATATGTAATCCTCCAACCCGCAAGCTTAACCAATGTGACTTAGATTTTAATTATGAATCATCTAGAAATAGTATTATGCTCATAGAAAGGGTAGCAATTGACCGTTAGTTATTGGTACAGAGGCGGTGCAACAAAAGGCTCTGCTGAGATAGCAATTCGATAACTTAGTAAATGGTAATTTTTGCCACAAAATGGCTACTTTGATTGTGGAATTCTAGGCCACAAAATGGCTAGTTTGATTCTGGAAGTTTGCGCCATAAACTGGCTTGTGTGATAGTGGAAGGCATAAAAATCAATGTTATTGGTACGGAGGCGGTGCAACAAAAGGCTCTGCTGAGATAGCAATTCGATAATTTAGTAAATGGTAATTTTCGCCACAAAATGGCTACTTTGATTGTGGAATTCTAGGCCACAAAATGGCTAGTTTGATTCTGGAAGTTTGCGCCATAAACTGGCTTGTGTGATAGTGGGAGGCATAAAAATCAATGTTGGTATTTGTGAAGGCTATAGGGATGGAGAACCCCTTCCAAGTGTAAGGAAACTTAACTTGCTTACCTTTGAGGACAAAGGATTAAAAATTATACCGATCCATGTTGGCACTGGCCATGGAAACCATCATCTACACTAGATTCAAGAGATTCACAATTGATGTCCTTAGCAAGCTTAAGGTTATTCGTAAAAGACCTATTCTCCTTTTGTTGCCAGTGTCCATGTAAGTTATTTAGACCATAAAGTAGTCTTGTTAGATCTATATATCACAAAAGATGCGTGCTTATGAGCAGTGTTTTGTAGGTATCCCTTGCAGTGGGGTGGCTCAAGTTGCATGTTTCTTGTAGCCTAATTACTTATAAATGAACTCATTGTGACAAAGTTTATCTGTCCCATATGTAATTTTCATGTCTCTCTCCTGTTTGTTCATCAGATTAATTTTCTTGCATTAGATGCAAACGTTAAACAATAACCTCCAGAGAGCTCTACACCAGATGCTCATATAGCACGTCATGAAAAAAAAAAAAAATCCAACCTCAACTCTATAAAAAGAAAATAGAGACAGAGAGAGGGAGAAAGCAACTACTAAATAAGATTGTAATGTTTCAGTCATTCAAAACAGCCACAAAAGGGAAGTTTTTCACTTATTGGTGGGCGAAGGGAGTTTTTTTAATTAGTACATACTAGTATGATGTAATGAACAAATCCTTGTGATAGGTCGGAACCAGCAACTATGAACCATTACAGGTGAAAATTCTCACTTAGAATTACCACAGATATGGTAACTACTAACCCTGCAACTTCCAACTCAAGAGCTAAAAGCCTAAAACCAAAAAATGAAAACTAGATATGAAACAACACACTTTATAGAATCCCAATAGTGTGATGGATCACCATACGAGGGTCAACCGACAACCGATGGGAAGGGGATAGCATAGGGGTGGCAATGGATCGGATGTGGATCGGGTGGAGCTCAATCCGCCTCCATCCGTTAGCTACCCATCCGCCACCCGACCCATCCATCACCCGACTTTTTCTTCATCCACATCCGCTCCATCCATCATCCGCGGGTAAATCGGGTTATAACTAATTTAGATTTTTCAGTTTAACGACATTGACTGCACAAATTAAAACATCACCATTATATTTGCATGCATCAATTAGACAATCACACTAAAGGGAAATAGGAAATAATAATTAGAGTTCAGATTAAAGTTAACAACAATAACAAGTAACATACACATAGTACATAACTTAATTGTTGGGCTATGTTGGCAGCAACGACTACTAACAACAAAATAAATAAAACTACAAGGAAAATTTGCAAATTGCAGTCATTTAAAGTTCATATTTTGCAAATTGCAGCCATTTAAATTTTTTTTTGCAAATTGCAGCCCAAAAGTTCGTATAAATTGTAAATTGCAGCCCGATTCAATTTTTTCATCGGTTTACATGTTGAAAAATTTTCGGTTAAGGTTTTAGGGGTCATTTTAGCCCTTAAGGGCCCGAATTGAGCTCGGAATTAGAAAAAAATAACATAAGTGTCTCATATTTACAGTTTTCCACAAATCGATACATTTTTGTTACGCAAAACAAGATACTTGCATTATATTTTTGCTGATTCCGAGCTCAATTCGGATCCCTAAGGGCTAAAATGGCCCCTAAAACCTTAATCGAAGATTTTTCAACTTGTAAAACGATGAAAAATTTGAATCGGGATGCAATTTACAATTTATATGAACTTTTGGGCTGCAATTTGCAAAAAAAAAATTTAAATGGCTGCGATTTGCAAAATACGAACTTTAAATGGCTGTAATTTGCAAATTTTCCAAACTACAATAAGATAAACATCCATCAAGTCTTCAATTCACATTATGAAACTACATTAGTTCTTCATCAACTCTTCAAGTGACTTTCACATATCCATGTCCTCTCCATCCTACAATAACAATAATAAAAAAGAAGGAAAAAAAAAAATTAACAGTGAAAAATAAAATTATAACCATAAAAAATATAATTACAATAAAATATGAACAAAGAATATAAATTTAATAATAAAAATTAATGATAAAATTATCAAGTTAACATCAATGACTTTATGTAATCCCCCATATTTTTAAAATATATTATAAATGAAATTATATTTTATTTATAATATTTATTTGTATTTTTCCGGAATTTAATTTCAAAAGTTTCAATTTTTAATTTTGGGTCGAAAATTATTTTGGTACAAATTTTTATACATACCTTCATTCTATAATTCATGTCCAAATAAACAAAGCCAAACTCATCTTACTTTACTTAATTGGCCCATTAATTTTGAGGCCCAATTTTACTAATTACCCTACACCACTCTCTCTCCTATAAATACCCCATACATCCCCAAATTTTTTCCCACACTAAAGGTTAGTCTTATTTTCTCTCTTCTTTATTTTATTTTCTTATTTTCCTTTTATATTTATTTTTTCTTTTTCCTTTTATTTTCTTTTCTTTTCCCTTTTTCTTTTCTTTTTCTTTCTTTTTTTTCCTCCTCTTTACGTGAGTTTTAACTCACCACCATTGTTGCCGCCCAACCACCACCGGCGCCCCTCACCATCGCCGGCCACCTGACACCGGCGACCCACCGGCAGCCAGCCACGGTGGCTACCCCCTTTCCTCCTCCTTTGTTTTATTCTTAGTTTTGCTTAGAATTGATTTAATTGTTTTGGGGTTTTGATTTTGTAGTATAAAGATTATATTTTTAGTATCAAAATCATGTTTTTGATGTTTTAAACTAATAATTTCATATTTTAATTATGTTATAATTTTCAGATTATATAATTTAAAAACCTAGGGTTTCAATTTATTCAAATTGGGATTTTAGGGTTCTAATGAGCAATTAATCTGGGGCTTTTATTCCTATTGTATTTCTATTGATTAATTAAGCATAAAAACATGTTTTTAATGAAGTTTTAAGGAGTTTTAATCTAAATTATATTACTGAAAATTTGGTTAAGTATTAATTTATTGTTGTTGCTTGTTTTCTAGGAAGTGATTATTTCTTAGGAGACTTTTAAGTGATTAAAAGTGGCACAAAGGATTGTTTATACGAGGTACGTACATGTCTACTTTGTTGTAAGTAGTATCATGTTTAGGTACCAAAAGAAAAGAACTTAGTTTCATGTTTAGAGAGCACTTGGATGGAAATTGTTTGGTTATACATTTGATTTAGGCATGTGCTTATATTTATGAGACATGTTTTGGTGAATTGATTATGTTTGTATGGAATTATGGATGCAAGCATGTTGAATTATATTGGATTAATTGTTTGTATGGAATATTGATACAAACATATTGAATTGGTTTGTTAACCACATTTGGATTATTAAAGGATTGAAATTGAATGGTTTAAGTGGAATGAATTTATTAATTATTCCACAAGGTTATTATTTATTTATTTATTACTCAATCATGACTTGTTAGTATGTTGAGTAAAGGTAGATTATTAAGCCGAAATGGCTAGGTGGGTTGACTATGTTCAACAATTTGGATAATATGAAAGTTTAATGGAATTAAAGGTCAATTTGTGATGTGATCATCATTGTCCTAAATAAGATTAAAAGTGAATTGATGTATGATTGTTATGTATGGTCTTCTTGAATTAGTTGGCTATTAATTAAAATTGTAATCACGTAAAGTGAAACATGGATGAGCAATAAAACTCTGGAAAGCGTGTACTTCTAGAGTATTGACAATTATGGGTTGGGGTACTCGGTGGTAGCCCGTGGCTTTTCGAGGCTTGTTTGATCAACATGTCCTCTTTTCTTTTGCTATTTACATTTTATAATGAAAGTTAGATGAGATCCTAGAATAACTTTGTGAGAATGGAGTCGCGCCCATTCTTGCATCGCGCTAAACTTTTATTTTAAATGGTTATTTGGGACCAAAATGATTTGGTGGATTGGACAACCTCGTCTATTGCTTACTCCAAATTAAATTAATTAAATTAAATATAAAGAGTCAAGTGTTTGGAATTGATTAGCAAGTATGTTGAGTCGATTGAATTGTTTAAGTGTGGAGTCTTGATTAATGAATTCGTGTTGTATGTTTATTACTTTAATTAGTTGAGCATGTTAGGCTTGGTACGTTGTAGCTTGTATGTACTCAGCTTTGCTGATTGCGTGCTTTTGTGTGTTTTCTTTTGGTCATGGCCTTCGCCTTTCAATGACCCTGTGATAATCCAATTATTACACTTGTATTATTGGGGAGCAGTATTGCACTGGTTAGCTTGATGATGTGAAGTTCGGGGATTTGACATACGCATTGTCAAGGGATTGGTGTGATTGAGAGTATTCGTTCTTTGTGTTGAACTTATTTATGTTTTACTATTTTAATTATGTTTTGGGACTTTGATTATTGGTTTGGTTTTAAATAAGGGCCTTTATGGTTCCAATTTGTAAGCTTTGACTTATTGGTTTTCTAAATTATATTATTTTAATATTTAAGTTGGATTTCCGCTGCAATACTTTGATAAAGCCTTAACGTTTTAACACGTGGCGGTAACATGCCAATGGTTCTCCTCTATTTTTATTTAAAGTAAGTGGTTTGGAAAAGGGAGAATTATTGGGGTGTTACACTTTACTTGTAGAGCTTCCTTCGCCTCCCTCATCGACATCGTCCAAGATAGTTGCATATGTGTGTTCATTATTGAAGGAAGAACCTATATTAATAATTTCACCAAAAATTCAGCTTTGTCATTTCAATTTAAAGAGTAAAATTTAAAGTGGATATTAAACAAAATCATAATTAATTACCTGAATACTCTCCAAGAAGCCAATTTTGCATGCACATAAGTGCTTCAACAATATTAGCATGAAGTCTCGAACGTTGTGGACTCCCTACCCTACCTCCCATGGTAAAAGCACTCTCGGAAGCCACTATTGATGCGGGTATTGCTAGAATATCCTTAGCAATTTTTCTCAAAGTAGGATACTTTAAATCAGTTTTCCAAAAATTAAGGACATCAAAGTTACTACTCTCTGGTAATGCATCATCTTCAAGGTAGTGGTCTAACTCACATCGAACATTGACTTTTCTTTTCTTATTCTTCTTAATCAAAGTCCATTTATCAAAATCATCACCACCATCACAAGTAACAAAATCAGCAAGCCGTTTTCCAGTACGACTAGAAGTAGGAGACACAAAATCCTCTGTTTCAGATTTCCCATGGTACTCTTGCAGTAAATCATACAACAAACTCCTTATTTTATCCACCTCAACATGAGCTTCATCACCATATATTTCATTAAAATAAAACTCCACACATTCCAACTTATTTCTAGGGTCTAAAATTGCAGCAACAGACAAAATTCCATTGATATTCGACCAATATTTGTCAAACTTTTCAACCATTTTTTCTGTCATATCCCTAATTACTTGCTCATTACTATTTGACCAAGAACGCAAAGCTAATTTAATCTCACATACTTGACGAAAGAACAAGTTGGCAGTGGGATATTTTCTACCATATAGCAACTCAGTCACCTTCTGAAACCTTTTCAATTTATCACATATAATTTCAGCCAACTCCCAATCCCTTTGAGAAGGAACCACAAATTTAAACTTTGGATTTTGAGTTTTCAAGTTTGCAAAAACACTCTTATATGGTAAAGAACTTTGAAGCATTAAATATGTCGAGTTCCACCTTGTCTTACAATCAAGGGACAATTTTTTAGAACAATCAACTTTCGAAGATCTAGCCTTATCCTCAAACTTTTGAAGTCTATTTTGAGTTGAACTCCAAAAAACTACACAATTACGAATCCTCTCAATTCCAGACCCTATTACCTCCAAACCATCCTAAACAATTAAATTAAGTATATGTGCACTACAACGCACATGTAAAAATTCCCCACAACAAAGTAAACTGTCATAGTCAAACTTTTCTTGCAAAACATCAATTAGAGCATCATTAATAGTACAATTATCAGCTATGTTGTACACATTCAAGGTATCCACAAGAACTTGAGCAAGCATGTTGGCAGTGTGTGGACAAGGAACATAAACAAACCTATTTTGCAATAACATAGATGCATAAAAATTCAATCAAAACTTGTAAAAAAATGCATAAAACTAAACTAATTATCAAATTCTTAATAAAAATAGCTTTAAAATGTTAATACCTCAATGTTTTGTTCCTTAAAACCCATTGATCATCAATGAAATGAGACATGACAGCCATATATCCTTTCTTCTGGTGTGAAGCAGTCCACATATCAATTGGAATGACTACTCTGCCCTCACGACCATCTTCATAATGTCACTTTTCAAAGTGTTACGACTTATTATTTTGAAATTTGGATTAAGGATATGAACATATCTC